CCAGAACATCTGTCACAGCAGGAGAACAGAAGTCTAACCCATTAAAGTTTGTCCCTGCTGGTCTGGACCGGGCCTTCCTCACTGAGCCTCCGCAGGTCTTTGGCACACATGAGAGCTGAAGGAAACAAGCAAGGAGTGAAGGAAAGAGGACTAAAGAGCTGCCTTCCTCTCCTCACTCCTCCCCCAGAGCTGTCGGTCCAATGTCACTCAGAGAGGAAGCAGGAAAGGAGACACGGGTCCTCCTCTCCCCCCACCCCCGCACACTGGCCGCTCGTTGGCAGGGGGGGAGGGAGGAATCACCGACCTTCCGGCGGAGCAGCGTGGCCGCGGACGGGAGCCCGCACGGGGGCTTGAAGTAAAAGCGCGCCCCCCGCCCCCCTCCTCTGCAGCTCATACTCACAATCTGGGCTTGAAGGAGGTCCGCGGGGCGGCTTCCGCTGCGCTTCCGGAGACACATCCGCGTGCGTCTGTCTGCCTTCACCGCCGCGCACCGGGAGCTTTTTATCATTTGCTCCAATCAGCGCTCACAGCCGCCGGAGCAGAACAAGACGGAGAAGAGGAAGGAGTCCTCCTCCTCCTCCTACTCGGGTTTTTCCCAGAGAGAGAGAGAGACACGCAGAACAGGAGAGAGATCACCGCCCTGACGGACACGGGCGCCAAGGCGCATGCGCATATACATAACGTCCATGCAGGCAGGAGAGCTGGAGTTGAAAAAAAACTTTATCAACTGTTTACTCACGTTATTGAAGCACGCGGTTCGTTATTACACACCAGACAGCAAACCACACCTACCTGTCCAGTAACACACACACACTCCTGCAGCGGTGTCATGATTTCTATACAGCACGACGTTGGAGTAAGACAGGAAACGTGTTTAAACTCTGCCCAGCGGGGATCCTTGGCATTAATATCAGAGAGCAGTTTGTTTCAATCAGATAACAGAGATAACTAATAGCCTCGGTGATGTCACTGCCTACACACCTGTTGTTGTTGTTTTACCTTGTCTTTAAATCATTGTTCAGTTTCGATGCTGATATTGTTACAAATGTCCCTGCAGCTTAAAGTGTGAGGGGGTCAGAAAGTCATGTTTAGTCCTGAGTTTTCTGTTTCAATGGAGATGCTGCGGGCTTGAATAACTTTTCAGTCAAAGAACCAGCTGGACAGCTTCCTGTGGCTTCTGCAAACAGACACACACGGTGAACGGCAGGGGGCGCCATCCACCAAGGAGAGGGCAAAGAGCGAGCTGGACGATGGGAAGTTTTTATGAATTGATTTCCTTCCTGGTTTCCATTCACTGATCATTGTCTCTAACTGGTGCACAGATGAGGTGGAGTCACTGACTCACCTGTGTAACACTGAACGAGTGCACACACCACACATTTGTAAACCACAGCTGGAGGAAACAGGAAACCCTTTCCTGCCTCTGGCTGTGTTTAGGCAGCAGCCTTCACTGACTGATATTAGGGTGACCTTTGAACCCACCACCTGCAGCTGATCTGCTGCTCACTCTGACTCAGCAGGCGGTCTTTCTCAGGTGTTCTCAGCCTGTTTTGACACACACCGACTCACAGGTGAGCTGCCACCAGCACACTGTGCAGTTTACCCTGTCACCACACGAGGGCACTGACACTGCACACTGAGTTTCTGACACGCTCGCAGTGTTTAATGCAGGTTTGTTTCTGCAGCAAACATCAGCTCAAACAGCTGATCCTGGGTCAGTGTATGCATGTAACTCACCTGAGAGCATCAGCTCAGAACAGGGCTGCTTATTGCTCAGGTGCAAATGTCTCCTGTCATCATCACAGAACTTGACATATCTGACAGCCAATAAAAACTAAACATGTTAGCTCCGCCTACACTGGTTCTCCCCTGACTTTGCACTAAGTGAAGGCATGTCCATGTTTCAGCTCCGTTTTGCTTCCAGTGTGTGTGGTTTTCAGAGCACGAGTCACGCATTGTTTGCATGGTTTGTTTTACCATAAACCAGAGTTTCCTGCACAGCCAGACACATGTTTATTCATATGCAAATATCTGTTTGTGGAAATTATGGGGACAAATTAAAGGTTTGGAAAAGCAGAAAAATTAAGTCTCTGCATGAACATCCTGTTTGGGTCAGATTGACTCAACTCTTCTATTTTTTTATCCACAAAGCTGCACAGGCCAAGGTGGAAGTGAAACACACACAAACACACACACACACAGCACTACTCTGTTGTGTTGATTGTGACTCTGCAGCGGTAAACTGTCAGACATCCCAGTGGGAGAAGTCTCAGTGAGCTAACATTGTCTCCTGCAGCTCCTGTGTCTGGGCAGAGCCTCCTTTGCTCAATAATCTGTATTTTCTATCAAAGCTCTGAGATGTGGCTCCACATTAGAGATAGAAGGTAAGCAATCACAGTCTGCTGACCAATCAGATCTCTGGAAAATAGTCTTTGTGTTTGATGATGGACATCAGGGTTTAATATACACTGTTACACTTGCTTTAGTTTTATTGAACTATAAACATTAATATCTGATCTGAGAACATCAGCTGGTTGCACCTGCTGGCCTCAGATCAGATTTAGTCTGAGTTTGATTACAGTTTTTATTGTTTCAGAGTGTTAAACTCCAGCTGAGAGAATAAAAACTAAAAATCCATTTGATCGAGCTGTGACACTGACCAGCCCGTTCATCACAGTCCTCATTTTTACCAGGTTTCTTACAAATATGCTAAACTTCTTCATAAACCAGCTCTTTTACAGTCTGAACGACTGAGGGCTATAAAGAGCTCAGTTTTAATCCCTCTGAACCAGACACTGCTGTCCTGCTTTCAGTCTGTAGTCTGTGTAACATCTTCTTTCTGTTATTAAAGCTATGCCACTCCTCAATAATGATTGGTCAGATGCTGCCAGCCCGGCCTCTTTCATGTGAACTGCAGGCTGCACTGTTAGCTTTGCCAGCTGATGACCAATTTGCTGTGATCATCCTGTTACTGTAGGTGATCCTGGTGGAAACTGGACTTAATGTTTCATATTTCCTCCAAAGGTTCAGACAGATTTTCTTCCTAAAATAATTTAAAGCTTATTTTAGGAAGCTTATTTTTAGCTTAAGAGCTCCTCGAGTGCGAGTCCTCTATGCAGCCTTTCCTTATCGCCAGCAGCCACGGCCACTACAGAGCGCTGGTGGGCTTGCAATTCTAAAGCAGATTTAAAACCCAGCTTTCACTGTACAAAGTAGCTATACCTACAGTGTATCTATACACAAAAATGTAATTACATTAAAAAAGTCAGAAGGGGACACACAACACAGAATTAAGAGGCCTTCAACAATAAGCAGATACATAAACACAAAAACACATCAGGAGACAAACAGAGTTATAGCTATAACAACACATGAGAGGTTGGTGGGCTGAAAGCCCAAAGAGTAAAGGTGGGTTTGATCCCACATGTAAGGAGGGCACTCTTTTTCCATCAAGTGGTAACTGATTCAGCAGTTTTTTATTTGAGGCGTGACTTGAAAGATGTAAGAGATATTTGCCAGTGGATGTGAGAGACGCGAATGTAAATGAATAAGATTTGTAACACAATCTACAGGCAGGCCTATGACCAGCCTCGAAAAACAATCAGTAAAATTTTAAAATGAATTCTAAAATGGACAAGAAGACAGTGCAGAGAGCACAGCACTGGAGTGATGTGCAGCAGACAGCAGTCGGCTGAATCTGCACCACCTGCAAGGAGACGGAGGTAGATGGAGTTACAGTCATCCAGATGTGAAGTAATAAAGGCATGGGTGACTTTCTCAAGATCATGAATGACATAAAAAGATCAACTATTTGTGACAACAAAACTAATTTGTTTGTCAAAGCAAAACAAAACTAGGTCTTAGTTTGTAAATATGGGGCGAACTGACCTCGATGTAGAAGACCCAAAGATGATGACCTCAGTTTTGTTTAATTGGATAAAGATTTTAATAATCTAGCCTGTAATATGTTCAAGACAGTTCAAAGGAGTCTTTCAAATGTCATATAATCTTCAATTCTACTCAATTCAATTTTATATGTGTAGTACCAAACAACAACAACAGTTGTGTCTGTCTCCTGAATCCAAACTGGAAGCTGGTTCCACAGAAGAGGGGCCTGAAAACTGAAGGCTCTGCCTCCCATTCTACTTTT